GAAGGCAGACGCTTAACTGACTGAGCCACCCAGACACCCCTCCTTTACTTCTTTTATATGAACTTCCTAAATAAACTGCTTATACTCCTTGTCTTGGGGTTTATTTCTAGGGGAACTCGGACCAGAACATGTTCTTCCACTATTTTGTGCCACTAAAGAAGAGTTTTAATTGAGACTTGGGAACTATAAATGAAAGTTGATTAAAGTGAGAGTGAGATTGTTATATTTGTTTGTTCTTTGTCAACCACTGAATTTGCTATCATTTTAATTTAATAAATTGTTGAATTTTCTCAAGTCCCTCCTTTCTTTTCTATATCCCCTCTCTTTTTTGTCATTTGGCCTTTTCAATATCTGGCACATACATATGAGCTAGGATGCCACAGGGGAAGGTTAATGAGAAACAGTGAAATGAAAAAAAATTACAGCCTCACAGTGCTTACAACATGAACCGATAATACAGTTTACTATTTTTGTGTGTTAGGGGGTCATATGGATAGATCATATATTAGCAAGTGAATGTATTATTTCTAGAAGAAATGGAAATATCAATCTGCTTGCCTGGGTTAAATCAGTATATTTTCTTACATGTGAAACCAACATACACAAATAGAAACAGACACACACACACACACACCTCTGTACGTGCATGTGCACTTGCTTGACATAGATTCCTTAATAAAATGAACACACTAAAGATACTGTCAAATCAAATCAACAATAAACCTTAAATTCAGAGTTATTGCCTGAATCATGTCCCTCTTCTAGCAAGGTCTAACTGTCTAAAATAAACAAACAAACAAACACCAAACCTAGCGCCACCATGACTCATATTATGTCGCTCATTAGTAAACACTGTTTAAAAGCCAGCTATGTCAGAATGGCTTCGGAATCTCCAATTATTTATAGCAAGTATTCTAACTTGGGGAGAAGAAAAGGACAGATTTTCTTCAGATATCTGAGGCCAGTAAAGGACCTTTTTGACTCTTTTCCTCGCTAAATCCTTAGGAAGGAAAAAGCCCATCTGAAATGTTAAGTGGGGAGACGGGAGTAGAGAGACATTTTGGTGTGATTTGGATCTCCATTTGTAAGCAGAAATAGAAAGGAGTTTTTTTTTTTTTAAAAGATTTTATTTATTGATTTGAGAGAGAGAGAGCACGAGTAGGGTGAGGGGCAGAGAGAGAAGCAGACTCCCCGCTGAGCAGGGAGCCTGACCCCCGGGACCCTGGGACCACGACCGGAGCCGAAGGCAGACGCTTATCTGACTGAGCCACCCAGGTGCCCCTGAAATAGAAAGGAGTTTTGAGGTGGTTTCAATGTAAGAGAGAGAGAATAAGAAAAGAAATGAGAGAACAAAGAAGGGTAAGACGTTTCCAGACTTTTCATAATCACTTAAATATTTAACCAAAAGGTAAATACAGATAACGGCCCCAACCCCGACATTATAAATGCTTGTAGCTTCAGATAGACAAGGCTCTGCAATCACAAAGGCATACTGGGGATCTGTATTTGGATTTGGAATCAGTATAACCATAAGGTTTATGCAGTACTGAAAACGACTTTTTCTTACATGTTTATGATCACTAAAGCTAGCCCTTTTTAAAAAAAAATATTATCTGAACTCCGTTTTTGAACACTGAGTGTGTTTTTTTATGTTATAGAAGTAGCTTAAATATTGACACTAGGGTAAGAGCTTCCTGGCTTTGGTCCTGGCAATGATTTTTTTGGATGTGGCCCTCAAAGCACAGGCAAAAAAAAGCAAAAATAAAGATAAATAAAAATAAAAACATAAAAATAAATAAATGGGACTACATCGAGCTAAAAAGCTTCTGCACAGCAAAGGAAAGCATCAACAAAATGAAAAGGCAACCTACGGAATGGGAGAAAATATTTGCAAACCACATATCTGAAATGGGTGAATATCCAAAATATATAAGGAACTCATACAACTCAATAGGACAAAACCCTAAATAATCTGGTTAGAAACTAGGCAGAGAATCTGAATAGACATTTTCCCAAAGAAGACACACAAATGGCCAACAAGTACATGAAAGGGTGTTTAACATCACTAGTCATCAGAGAAAAGCAAATCAAAACCACAGTGAGCTATCACCTCACACCTGTTAGAATAGTTTTTATCAAAAAGTCAAGAGATAAGTATTGGCAAGGGTGTGGGGAAAGGGAACACTTGTGCACTGTTGGTGGGAATATAAATTGGTGCAGCCACACGGAAAACAGTACAGAGGTCCTCAAAAAATAGAACCACCACATGATCCAGGAATCCCACTATGGTACAGGATATATATCCAAAGGAAATGAAAGCACTGTCTTGAAGAGATATCTGTACTCCCATGTCCATCGCAGCATCATTCACAATAGCCAAGACATGGAAAAAACCTATTTCCATTGAGAGATGACTGGATGTAGAAAATGTACATAGCACAATGGAATATTATTCAGTCGTATGAAAGCAAGAAATCCTGTCATTAGAGACAATATTGATGAACCTGGAAGACATTACGGTAAGTGGAATAAGCCAGACAGAAAAAGGCAAAGAGTGTAGAATCCTACTTATGTATGGAATATAAAAAAGTCGAACTCATAGAAACAAAGTAGAACAGTAGTTACTAAGGGCCGGGGTGGGGGGTAGGGTGGGAAAAATGGAAATATGCCAGTCAAAGGGTACCAACTTTCACTTGCAGGATGCATGAATTCTGGAGGTCTCACAGGCAGCATGGTGACTATGGTGCATCTTGTGCTGTATGCGTGGAATATGCTGAGAGAGTAGGTCTTAAGTGATCTTACCACACACAGTAAAAAAAGGGGGGACTCTAAGGTGATGGATGTGCTCACTAACTCGACTGTGAAAAAACAGATGATCATGTTCTAGAGCAAGTGATGGAAAGTGTATTTTGGTTTAGAAATGGGGAAGAAGGAAATGTATAAAGGATTAGGTACCTTAGCAGGTTAAAAACATCATAAAGCTCAGAGTAAATTTCCATCTTGCTGCTGATTTGCATACAAACTATACTCAGGTAGAGGGAGAAGTGGGGAAATCATCTGGCTTACATGGAAGAGGAAAAGGCTACATCCAGTTGATTTTTCAAAACTCCTTATTAACTTATCTGCAGACACAGCTTTGCATAATGAACTCTAGAATGTGGGTAGTGTCAGTTTCAGTTGTGGATGGAGGAAGCAGTTTTCACCAAACTTAGCTGATGATGTTTGTAAAAGTTGGCACAGCGACTGGACTGAGGAGAACAGATGCCAGGATAACCACTGGCCACCTGTCTTTCTTGGCTCTATGAAAATATCTGCTACCTTATACATGGGCAGAGGTAGAGAAATGAGAAAGCATGTCCTTAGACACTGAAGTCCCAAACCTGATGCCAAGTTCAAGTGCTGTCTCACTGGAGTATTTCCAAATGTATTTAGGGATTGAGACTATGGTCACTCAAGAAACACTGGTCACAGCCTCAGGGCTGCAGGACAGACAGGTACCATCGCCTCAGGTGTCAAGCCATGTTGATAATTTGAGATGTCGCAGCTGGTGATACTCCCTCTTCACTCACCAGCTGCCTCTTCTAGGCCAGTGCACATCTCAGCCAAAGGAGATGTTTTTGGCGCTTGTCTAGACGTTGAGAGCACCCGCTGGCTTGGCGGACAGCAACTGGCAAGAAGGGAAACCCTCGGCCCAGGAGGGTTGTGAGAAGGCCCTATTCTGGCCTTTCAGGAGTAGCTGCATTCATACCACTCCCTAGAGGAGGCACACAGAGGCACTGTGCATGCATTCTCTGCCTTCTTCAGTCAATGGGAGGGAGGCCAGTTAATGACTTTTTTCAACTCTTTATCAAAATCAATTAACACACTGCCACACTTAGATACTAGCATCTACGCAGGGGACCACCAGGCTTCCCCAAGAGCCTTTTCATTAAGGAGATACATTTTAGGTCATCGTACCCTACATCTCTGCAGCATAATATGACACCCCAAATTACAGGCCTGTTGGTGTAACAAAGAGTCACAGTCCCTTCAGGCAACAGAGAGTCAACTTAAGTCTGACTTAATCTGTTTTTTACTGTCATCAACAACTGAAGACTGGCTCAGGCACAGGCAGAGAATTAGCAGGAAGACACGATGTGAGGACATGGGGATATGAATAGAGAAGGGGAGGGGATGTCCTGCTCACAGGAAATGAAAAGCTCTAAAGCCCAAAGCATCTCCTTTCATTTTTTCCATGTAGTTCCCTTGAGGTTATGCAGCTGAATAGTCTCAGAGCTAAGAGCAGACTGGCTTATTATAAACCAGTCCTCTCTACCTTCTGATATTTCCAGCTCCTCTGTTATGACGGTTGACTCAGCACTCAGTTATTCCTCAAATCAAAGCAGATGTGCGTCTAAGGTGTCCGATCCTAGTGTCTTGGAAGGCAGCAAGATTAAAGAACATACGGAATTTTGGTTGTCACTGACCTTACTTCTTCCTTTAAAGACCATTCTCCTGTTTATGTAAACTAAGCCTGGAACAATAGAGTGTTGACAAATGAGAAAGAGAAGAACTTCTAAGTTAACAAATGACATATACCTTGAGAAGGAATACATAATAAACATTTCATAAATAAAAATACATAATAAACATTTAAAATAAGTCACAGTTTCTTCTGGTCTGGGATATACTGAAGACATTTCAAAAAATGTCACGTGGTTTACTAGCAAATCTAGTGCATTGTCCCAGATTGGTCTTTTCTGTTAGATCAGAGGAAATTTTAGACTAAAAATAATACTTACAATAACAATACAGCATTTAGCCATTACCGGCTCTGTATATTATCCACATTTTACAGATGAGAAAATTGAGGTACAGTACAGTTGAATAATTTGCTTATATCACATAACTAGAGACACATAAACTGGCAAGGATATGAAACTGAATTTAATGACATGCAGCCATTAAATTAATTTAAACCACAAAATTCTCTGTATTCTCTTCCATTTTTGAAAGAAAAATCCGTCTGTTCCCTGAGGGGCAGCAACTTACAGAATATACACAGTAGAGTTAAACTGAAATTGTTTAACTGAAACATACCAAAGAAGTCATTAAAATACAAAAAAGATTCTCAACGAGGGGAATTCTCTTGTAATCAATGAAGCAGAGCCAAAAAGTACATTTGTAGATTGATTATAATTCATGGAAAAATAAAATATATAAAGAAATGTTTAAAAAATTGTTAACTAGGGGCACCTGGGTGGCTCCGTCAGTTAAGCGTCTGCCTTTCGCTCAGGTCATGATCTCAGGGTCCTGTGATCAAGCCCTGTGACAGGCTCTCTGCTCAGCAGGGGGTCTGCTTCTCCCTCTCTCAGCTCATGCTCTCTCTCAAATAAATAAAATCTTTAAAAAACTAAAATAAAAACATGTTAACTATAATTATTGTGTACTTGTGTTAGAACGATAGGCAAGATTTCCTTTAACTTCTTGTTCTACAATTGGGTGTATGTGTGTGTTTGTAATTAACAAGTGTGTTTACGAAATAAACTATGTAAGGGGCGCCTGGGTGGCTCAATCGTTAAGCGACTGCCTTCTGCTCAGGTCATGATCCCAGGGTCCTGGGATTGAGCCCCGCATCCGGCTCCCTGCTCCGCAGGAAGCCTGCTTCTCCCTCTCCTACTCCCCCTTCTTGTGTTCCTTCTCTCGCTGTGTTTCTCTCTGTCAAATAAATAAATAAAATCTTAAAAAAATAAATAAACTATGTAAGCCTAGCCTCTTTCTGCACAAGATGGCTGTAGATGTTATAATATTTTAGCTCAATCTACATATAGATTAATTTTTATGATCTTTTATCACCGGTCATGAAGTTGGGAAATTCTTCCTTTATTTTAAGAAGATGGAAGAATATAGTCTTTATATTCATTTTGGGCAGTCGTTAGTTAAGACAACACACAGAAAAAAGAGAACAAGTTATTAAATATGAAGGGTATTTTATCTAAAAAAAGCAAAGTCCCTGCTTTCAAAGTGCTTAGAATCTATTGAAAGACAGGTTAAACTCAATTGTGGGACTGGTGTTCAGTACCCTTAGACTGCATGCTAATTTCAAATATGGGAGAATATGTATACATTTTTTTTCCAGAGGCCCTTCCACCCCATTTTTAAAAAATATCATTTTGCCAAGGGAAAATAAATGAAACGAAATGGTTTGGAGTTGATTCAAACTGTGAATATTTGAATTCTAATTTGGCTCTAAACTCAGGAAAAAAAGTCTACCCTCCTGGTATAATACTTTTAAAGCAAATGGAATCCATCATGCATGAAAAACTAATCTCTGACCTTTAATGGTGATTTTACCAATTGAAAAGTTTCAAACACTCAGTTGTGAAAAGGAAACAGACATTTGCTCAGTCTGTAGACTCCGGCTCAGCTGAGAGTAATTTTCCACTGACCGGGAGAAATCATGGAAATGACACAGCTATGGCCAGCCTTAGGCTGGTCCTATATAAACTTCAGCCATGATCCCGTGTTTTTTCTTTTGTGTGGGTAACATACCAGCCAAGTCTGTGTAAAAGGACGTTACTAATATTTCTGAGGTGACCTATACTTACGGTATGCTATATAGTTTTGTCTCTTAGATTTAATGACTATATAGTTGATGCACTTGCAATACTACACAAGCAGAGCTAAAATTCTGCTGGGAAAGCAAAAGGTGCTCTGTTTTGAAATTGTTTTTACAAACCGTATAGAAAAGTTTTCAATGACTTGAAACTTTCCATATCAGACGGTGTCGAAACGTATTTTTCCAAATGCAGAGGTGGGAGGATACCTTCTAAACCCTGAGCCGTTTCTGTAGGTATGAAGAGGAACATCAAAGAGTAAAATAAAACAAAAATCCACCCCCCACTTAGAAAGCAATGAAATAAAACTACTGCCAAGGATTGGTGAGGAGCCAATCACATAACTGTGGTCCCCACGCATAAATGCCAGGATAGTCCTGATGACATCCCCAAGCACATCTTTCTGAATCTTTGTGGCCAATCGAGCGCTCTCATGTTTTAGAATTCCACAAGTGTGTGTGTGTGTGTGTGTGTAGGGAAACTCACTTTTAGGGGTGAAGTGTTGATAAGGCTACAGAAATACTAACCAAGCAGCCTAAATGAATTAACACATATAAAGCACTTAGAACAATTCTTGACACTTAATCTGGAAACACAGGTGACTACACATAATATCAAAAAGGACATCTTTAGTCTATTAAAATATAAACTTATCTGTGTTTGCAGACTTTACAGACACTCTGTAAGATATTATTTATGAGACGCCTTTAAACAAGGGGAAAGTAGGGTGAAATACTTTTAATCATAACAACTTACTGAATTTTAACTAAAAGCACTTACTTACAATTATACTTATTTGATATAATTTGTTATCCGTATTTTGTCTTCAGCAACCTGTAAAAAAACTTTGAGATGCTAACATTGCTAATCACCTATTTAAAATCCAAAAACCATTGAGATGTGATGAATCTAAGTCGTGAAGATTGAAAAAAGTAGTATGAGATTTGATTAGAGGTTATAATTTATTAATGATAAAGTGTGGCTTTCAGAAACAGTAAAATCAGAGTCCTATTTTCCTTCCTGATCTCCTTCCCTTGCTTCCTTTCCTCCTTCATTTCTTTCCATCCTCCCCCTTCCCTTCCTGACTTTTTGTTTATTCACTCCCCATGCAACCCACCAACCAAGCAGCAGTAATTTGTTGAATTTGGTAATTTTTCATCAAGACAAACCAATTAAGTAGTCCACCAGTTTTTCAACTGATAAATTATTTGAAGCAAATAAATAAAGTTCTTCAATTTCCAAAGTCTGCTGCTTTAAGGACTCACCCCAGCAGGAAAAGTCCTTAACCCACGGACGGAACACAGAGTCTCACAATGTTCATATTACACTTGACCTGACTCTATCTGTACCTTGTTCAGTTCCCATTATGTCAATTGCGCTTTCATACCCTCTTCTGACTTCTCTTCTACTCTTATTCATCCATCCCATGGCATCCTCATGGGTTCTCAAAATACATCTGCTATGTTACCTAGACTACGTCTTCTTTCCCACTCCCTGGGAGAGCACTCTGGGGAACTGGCTTTGACTAAGACCTCCTCCTATGACAGGTGCAGTGATGAATCCTCAGATGTACAAGATATTTATGTTCAGGGCTGGAATCTAATTTTTCAAGCACAATCCCTGGAACAGCTAATATTCAAGGATCTCAGGAAGATTTAATTTCTGAAAGATTAAACATGAATATATTTTTTAAATATGGCCTCTCGCTCATCTTCTTGTTTTCGTGTTTCCCCTGTTCTTTCTTCTCTCTCTAAGTCCTCCAACACCAAGAAAAGTCTGCAATGGAAAAGTAATCATAAAAGAAAAGCAAGAGCTTTGTTCTGAAATGTCTATGGGATGGAGAGAAGAGAAGCAGTCACACGTTATCGTCTCTGATGTGAAAAGGAATCTCAGGACAGAACTATACCTGGAAAGAGGCCACTTTTTTTCACTGGATGTGGTTTTCTTGAGTCCCTGGTCATTGCTAGCAGCACAGAAGCCACAGAACGAACTGAGAAAAGTGCTGAGCAGAGTTTCAGAAGTGAAGAGAGACAAGAAGTGAGCTCCCCTGGCGTATTTTATAACTATGTCACCAGTATCCATATTAAAAGATGATCTTCTAAAAATAGGACACACACGCACAGACAGTTCTACTCAAGCACCATGAGACTATTTGGGCTTGAGAATTTATGGACAAATTAATGCAATTATAGTCACATATCTTCAACTTAGGAACTCAAAAATGGCTAAAATCTCTTGCTTATGAAGCAATTAAGGAGAGCTTTAGAGACAGCATAGTTGGAGGATATCTACAGGTCTAACATACGTAACTTAGCTGTGCCATGATGGGAAAATTATGTCACTTCCACGGGCCACATATTATCTCAGAGATAATTAAGTCACATTATTAGTATAATAACCAGCACAAGGCCTTAGCGTGGCTTTCACAAATGTGCTACATTTTTGGAAGAAGTCCAGAAACTACATATTAAAGAAAATAGTGAAATCATTTTTTTAAATGTTTTAGTTCTTATCACTCACATGTAGTGCTGGTGAGGGAGGTAATATTAACCTCTAACCAGTCCTTGAGGAATAGACTGATACTGTTGCATGAAACTAAAAGAAACTAATCATGACCATGAGATGGTCATGAAGCATCTGATTCTGATTCTGACCAATAATTAATCAGCTCCATAAGCAGTTTATGGGCCCCTGTCATCCCTTTGGAAAGCATAAGTATATGCAAAAAAAGGAGGCCACTCAAATTTGGTTGCTCTCCTGATTTAGTCTAAGAAGCCAAATGGATACTCCCCAGTTAAGAACCCTGATGTTCCAGGAACTGTGTGGCGGATGGTCAAATCCCATGACAATTCAAGTTTCTATCTATTCTTGTGTCACAGATTAGATTATTATTTAGCAAATTATTATTCAGCAAATTATTCTCTGCCTTCCCTGTCCTCTCCCTCCCCACCAACTCCCTGAATGATATTGGGCTTGGCCATATTGTACGTTTTGACCAACAGAATGTGGGAATGAATGATACTGCCTATGTCAAATTGAGGTCCTACAAGTTATAAAATGTTTCCACTTGCCACTCTGGGAGTTCTCAACTCTGCCATGAGAAGAACAGTCCCTGGGAAACCAGGGATTGAAGAAGGAGAAACAGGAGGAACAAACATGAAGATAACCTGCAGCCTGAAACAGAGCCACCCCAGCCCACTAGCAGACCCAGGAGCACAAAACAATTGCTTTATTGTTACATGCTACTGATATTTTATGGTTGGTTGTTATGTAGCATTACTGTATCTATAGCTAACTAACACACCTTGCAATAAAGATCATTATAGGTAATATGTATAAATTTTTTCTCCTGGGATCCTAGGTGTTCTGACCAGTACAAACTGCATTTTATTGTACCCATTCGAACTTGCCCTAGCAACCCAGGAAATTGCCATGCCTCGTAGAGAGTGCAGTGCTCCCATCCCTCTACAATTCCCATTTGTCTAATTTCAGATTCTCCCGTTCTTTTATCCCTCAGGAAGAAGCATTTCCTTCTTCTCTAAACCATATCTGACTTTTTTCTTTTACTTTGCATCTTTAGCTATAAATTATATAGTACCTCTAGAAAGGTCTACATCACTTACTGGGGAACATATCCCTTAGCACTTGAAAGTACTCTAAGAACAGGAATATCTCTCTTGAATTTCAGACAGAATAGGCCTCTCAAACTAATTAAGTACAATGTAAATTAGTCCATCTCCCCTCCAAATTGGCTTCTCCTTTGTTATCCTAAATAAACATCGTCTCTATCCTTCTAGGTGCCATGTCAAAAATCTGAGTAATTATGGATCTCCACTTCTCTCCTCTCCTATTAACCAAGTCTTGTTTAGTCAAAACTCCCAAATACCAATTAAATCTATCCACCTCTCTGCAGCTGCATCACCATTTTTACCCCTGGGATTACTGTAATTAATTCTCACCCGTTCCTACCTCCACTCTTAATCATATACAAACCAATTTCTCACAGCAGCTAAAGAGATTTTTTTTTTTTTGAGTGCAAATCTGATTATGTCATTTGCTACCTAAAATCTTTTATTGGCTCCCCACTGCAGCAAAATGAGGTATAAATTTCTATATGACTTATTAGACTTATTATTTAGCTTAGTATCCTTCTCCACTCTGATTTCAGATCGATGCCCTCCTGTGCTCTATACCTTAGGCAAACTGAATTTTTTGCATTTTCCCAAACCCACTATGTTCTCTCTTATCCCCAGTCACTTGCATGTGATATTCCATCTGATACTTTCTTTCTCCTCCCACCACCCTTCCCTTGGTTATTTTCTCTCACCCTTTATTTCTCTGGTCAGGTAACTTTCTTTAGGAGACCACTCTCTCTGACTCGCTCTCTCTTGTTCTCGTAACCCTAGCTAGATGTCCTTCTTGTGTGTTTCTATAGTGTCCTGAACTTAGATGCTTCCCCTAGCACTTATTACCCTATACTATTCTGATTCCATTGTGGCTGACTCTAGAGGGGTCCTAATCAAGAGCCATTTCTCCTTCTAACTAGACCCTTAATACGATTCAAATATCTACACACCATTGCATGTACGTACAGTGAGGCGAGTCTCAGACCCAGCTCCCATGAGGGAAACCCAACTGTCCCAACTAATCACGGAGGTATCATTTCTGCGGTAGTAATTGGTTAGGACATGTGATACAATTCTGAAAAATGAGATGTTGAAGAGAAGTCAGACACAGGAAGTCTGTTTGGGAAACATGTTTTTTCATCTTAAAAGAAGACTTAAAAAGAAAGATGCTTTTTTTTTTAAAACCTCTCATAATTATCTGAATTTGATAGCTACAACTGTAACAGATATCTTGAGATCATGGGGGAACAAGCCAAAAAAAAAAAAAAAAAATCACCAGTACTTGAGGGTGGCAAAAATTAACGAAGGACAGGACTTTCATAATGTCATTGAATTACTTATAGTGACTTGAGTTTCCCACTTTGGGGTTGCTTATGTTTTAAGCCAGCTGAGTTGCAGTTTTCTGCTACAGCTACAAAGATTCTAACACACTTGTCTATCTTCCTCACTGCACTGATATTAATAACAATCCATGCTTGTATATAGGAACTGTAAAAGAACTAAGAATTAAAAAAAAAAAAAAAAAGAAACAACCAAACATCTTGGAAGGCTGCACGGCCTGATGACAGCTGAAAAGGAAGACATTATTAATGTGGTACCATGTAGAGAACTGGAGTCAGCGTTTGAGGAAAAGGCTGTAGAAGTCTACTGATTTATCCCCTGGGCCAGAAAATAAAATGAAACTGTGATAGCCGTTTGAAAAGCTGAGTATGAAATGATCACAGGGATAATACTGTAGCAAATTCAGAAGCCTAGAGAAATGTCACCTGGCTTTTCTGTTCTGCTTCCTGCCTTTCCCTTTCTTTCTCATGCCAGCTCTGGTTTTACTTCAAAAGCTGACAAACGTAAAAGAGGAAAGCCTCCCCAACATATTCACCTAAGCTCTGAGCAAAGATCCAAGAAAAGGTCAAGGTGACAGCCAAACCCACAATTACATTAGCTTTTTGTGGACTGAACATCTAATAATGCAGTAGACTCTACTGCTGCAGAATTTCTCATTAGAAACAGGAATTTGAAGAATAGGGAGAAAGAGAAAACCTCAATTTTTGGTCTATAGATCTCTAAAAATAATTGGCAAGCTTAGATTCCTCTGACAGATAACTCCTTCCTACTTTCTTTCTTCTTTTTTTTTCATTTACTATGAAGTGCTAGGCATGGAGGGCTTATTTATACAGCAGTCTGTTAAACAGCAGCATCCTGCCATTTATCCATAATAAAACTAATCGTCCATTTTCAATTTTAGTATATGTGCTGCCGAAGCGAGCACTAATCGCCCATTTTCAGAAGGAAGTGAAAAATAATGATAGACAGTATGGATAACTAAGATTATTGTCTGATCACATTTAAAAAATTAGTTAACAATTTAAGCTTCTACTGGTACTGCAAAGGAAACTGTATACTTAAGGATAGTCACTTGTAAAATGAGACAATTTGTAAAAGGTACAAGTTCCGTCTTCTTTGAAAGTTTGGTAGAACTTGTAGGTAGAATGGTCTGAGTCAATACTTTCGATGACTGGTTTATTTACTAATTTGGAGGGGGGTGGTTAAAATGGTACTGATTCAATTTCTCTAATGGTTACAGGTCATTCTAATTTTTTTTTTTTTAATCCTGTCAAGTCAGTTAGGTAGAATTTTACTTTTGTGCCTTTACATTAAAATCAAACTTTAAAAATAAGCAATAATAAAAAAAAAACTGTAGCTTTAAAAAAGCATAGTAATCTTACCCCTGTGATACTAGAGCTATATTGTCTCATAGGGTAGCCCCAAGCCACATGGACCTACCTATGAAGCACTTGAAATATGGCTGGTCCAAACTGAGATTGTCAAAAGTATAATATATACTCTGGATTTTGAGAACTTAGTACAAAAAAATTTAACATAGCCAATTAATAATTTTTATATTGATTACATCTTGAAATTATATTCTGGATATATGGAGTTAAATAAAATACATTCTAAAATTAATTTCACTTTTTGAACCCTTTAAAAGCGGCTATTAAAAAATTAAAATTGCGGTATGCATTATATTTTCTTTTTTTTTTTTAAGATTTTATTTATTTATTTGACAGAGAAAGACAGACAGTTAGAGAGGGAACGCAAGCAAGGGGAGTGGCAGAGGGAGAAGCAGGCTTCCCGTGGAGCAGGGAGCCTGATGCGGGGCTCGATCCCAGGACCCTGGGATCATGACCTGAGCCAAAGGCAGATGCTTAACGACTGAGCCACCCAGGCGCCCTGATTTTATTTTCAGTTGGTAATACTGTTCTAGGACATTCATCAGCTCCTCTCCCATGATGCTCTGTACCGTAGACACTGACATATAGATGTAATCTCAAAACACATCATGATGATGAAAACAGTATCCTCCCAAATAGATGTGTGTTCTTGGAAAATTCATACAATTTGCCTGGGTTCTCCACTGCGTCATCTCTTAAAAATAAAAGGGCTATATGAGATGATTCTTAAATTCCTTTATGATTTTCATATATTTCATGAATTCATAAGTTCCTGAATAGATACCAAGGCAGGGGGATACAGTTCATAGGATAACCCATTTCAGCTTAACAAGTATTTCTGGAGCATCTATCATGTGTCAGGTCCTGTGATAAGGTAATTTTACATCTAAACATTTCCCATTATATTTAGCACTATTCTTCACTCTTGGTAACTCTTTGAGAAATATTTATGAATGAATAAATACATTATTATGCTGCCCTGTCTTACATGTTAATACAGAAAGGAAAAATTTATACACATACACCCTGATACTCCAAGAAACTGGCTGTAAATGAAATATCAAAAAAAAAGTTTTTTGAAAAACTGAGTTGTGATTCTTAGCAGAAACTCAAGTGCTCATACAACTGAATGGTTTCTGAACCTCACAGCTAAAAATGCCTTGCTCCTTCTGAAAAATGGAAAATGCATTTTGATTGTACATAAAGAGCACTTCAATTTTATCTGCCTTTGTCCTCTTAGAGGCTTGCCTGGGTCAATAATTACTAACACAGCTTCTGGGGCTGAGTGAAGGAAGGGAATGATAAACAAGTACAAATGAGCTACCTTAAAAAAGCAATAGCATAAAGCAAGAGAGCACTCGAGACTTGTCCTCTCAAGGTGTTCACATTAGCTGGACAAGAAATGAAAATTAATAAGCCGGAACTGAGCTATATGCACTTAACTTGACCTAGCCTGCCGTTAACATAATGTGTTTTCACCTTCTACTTTAGTGAGAACTAAAATTATCTAAAATTATTCTAAATGTTTCTCACAAAATTGTTCACCAGTTTTGTTAGGATTCTTAAACTTCTCACTTTTTTTTTCTTCAAACTATAATACAGAGAAATGAGGGAACAGTATGACATTCTGGAAAAAGTGCTGTATATTGAGAGCCAGGAAATCTGATATCTGGCCTTAGAAATGTGACAAACTTGTGATGTGAAGCTGAACAAACTTTAATCTTTCTGATGTTTCTTCATTTGCAAAATGAGGATAAAGCCCGATGCATTCTAAAGACTAATGAGGGGATCAAATGAGATAATCATAAGGAGAAACATTTAACAATACATAAATGTTCTACAAATGTAAACTATTTTATGTATGATCATCAGAGAAGTTTCTTATGAGCTAAAATCTTTTTTATTTACTTAATTAAATTAATTAATTAATTATATATAATATTATTTATTTAATTTATCTAGGACCATATTACATGTGATCCTAGATCCAAAGAAGACAAAGAAGAAATATAAATAACAAAAAAACCTTACATCTACTATTAGAAATAGCACAATAGTCATAAACCAATATTTTTTTTTCTTTTCTTTTTTTTAAGATTTTATTTATTTTTTAGAGAGCGAGCGAGAGAGAAACAGCATGAGAGGGGAGAGGGTCAGAGGGAGAAGCAGGCTCCCCGCTGAGCCGGGAGCCCGATGTGGGACTCGATCCCAGGACCCTGGGATCATGACCCGAGCCGAAGGCAGACGCTTGATCATCTGAGCCACCCAGGCGCCCAATAAACCAATATTTAAAAGCATATGGTAGAGCAGTTAATTGTACAGACTCTGGAGACAGACCAGTAAGATCTGAGGTCTGACTGCCGTTCACTAGCTGTGTGATTTGGAACTCACCACTTCATCTCTCTATTCTTTAGTTTTCACATCTGTAAAATGGGGGTAATCGTAGTACGTACCTCATATGTTTATTGTTAGGAATAAAGTACTTACTATATATAAAACATTAGAATGGTGTTGGCATATAGTAGGTATTACATACGTGCAGCTGCTTTTTAGTTCATTCTATGATGCTTTAAACACTAGGCTAACCTAGCTAGCATTTGTCTCACATTGTTTGAAAAAGTGCACAAATTTCCCATGTGCACAGCAGATGGTGGAAGTATCGCAAGGGCATGTTGTAGAACAAAGGAAAGCGACTTCAATACTCGGTTCACAGATCGACAGCCTAGATGAGCTACACGTTCTAGATGCCTGCAGTAGATGGGAAAACAACGCTATCTCATGTGGGACCTTGTAAAATTGGTGGCTCTCTTTATTTTTACATTCTCCTCAGGTACTGAAATAATGACTAAAAGTTATCTTGTACTTGCACTGTGATTTCAAAAAGCGCTTTCACATCCATTACATCATTAGAACCTCAGGGCAATTAAAGGTCAACAGTGACCTCACTTTCACCCGCACATAGCTCTTTGAGGAATCGAGTCAATTGAATACTCGGCACTGGAGAAAACAGGTGGGCTCTGTGCCAGACACTTTCTGGCAGCTCGCAAGACTGAGCTTTTCATCTGAGCCAAGTGCAGGCCTGGAAGGACGCAAAGGGGCAGTTTATCTGCTCAGCAGATCTTGCTGCCCTTGTACGGTGGTGGGGCCACACTTTCCACAAGCAGCTTTCTGTCAAGAGGTGAATCATTGACTGCATCTTCCTCTAAAGGAAGGACATTTTGAATATTTTACCAAGTTCAAGAGTGTGAGGCAGAGAAGACTGACCAGTTGGGGACTTCCTTTAGGATTTTCCCATTGGCTACACCCAGTGGCATCATTCCATCTGTTGGATTCAAAGGTGATTTTCCATGAGACTATACCTACTGGAAAGGAAAGTCTTGGGCTGTTGCTTACCTCATTTGACAACTGTTACATCAGCATTGTTGATTTAGAGCCCCAAGATGAGGCAAGTATGGCAGAGTTCCATGCCAATGTTTTCATGGAGTCATACCTTAAGAAACCTCCCTAGAGAAAAGCATTAACATAAACCATTTTGTAAGGCCCAGGTTAAATCTAATCAGAATGCTTGCTTCATAAGTAAATTGTTCTCAGAAATTACACTGTCTGATCAAGTTTCTCTCTTTTGTCTAAACACTTATTGAAATCCTTAAATATACCTTGACAATGAAATGTACTAAACACAGGTTAATCTTTTATCATGAAACACAGCATAATTCTGAAGGTCCAAGATTTGGATTAACAATCATAAGACTTTAGGTATTGAATGTATAAAATTGAGCACATCTGTATTCACTCAGGAACAAAACAAGGTGGTTCTAAAAATTCTTTCATCATCTTGTGTTCTTTGATTTTGGTCCTTCCTCCTATGATTTGAACTTAGACCTTTAAGGGTTAAACAAGAACGTAAAAGAATGTAAAACACCTAAAGGAAATTACACATTTTCTACTTATTCAGAATCTTTCCCCCAACACCTAGAGCATTGCTTAAAATATAGTAGTTATTAAAAATATTTATAAAATAAATAGCTCTCTCAGAAGTTCGGGTCATTCTAACCACCCTAACATTTTTATTTATCTATAGACATTAAGGGGAATTGATCACTATTAAATAACAGCAGCGAAAATGTTTTCGTTTGCAGGAACATAATGCTAAATTGCACAAAGTCAAAAAGTAATCTACAAATTAATTACAGAGCATTATTAAATGAGTCAAAACTGTTCTATAAATAAATAATGCAGTACTTTGCCAAAGGTTGTTGCTATTATGTGTAAGCCCTCAGGATGAAAACTACGAGTCCTATTTTTAATATGTTCGTCACATTAATTAATGAACAATATAAACAATTTATGCAAGCACATCAGCTAAGCTTTACTCTTGGGAACCAGCGGGACATTTTAGTAACAAGAGATAAAAGCAGGGAACACTCTTTTGACTTGGAAAGCTAATTCCAAATTCTTGATTTTCCCCAATGGGTAGGGTTTAAGCAAAATATGGCACAGAAGTGAAATATATAATCAAAGCCAACTTTCCCTTAGTAGGGGAAATATGATCCTTTCACTATTTTGATTTGGATGCTGTCTCCAAACTGGCCCCAAGCAACCTCTTCTGTGTGGTATTCACGGCACCTCCTCTTGCACCATATGCTCTCTTGCAGAAGGAGGGGGAGCATGTCTCAATGCTTCCCACTCCCCACTAATGCCAATTAAAATCTATTCTCGAGAATCTAATCTCATATATTCATACTTGTATGAATTCAAATCATCATTTGACCTTTCCATGAAGCATTTGCCTTTTTGGTCTTACCTCTGTGCAGAAAAGACCAAAATATAAAAGCTTTAGGGTTGTTGTTTTTTTTTCCTTTTCAAAAGAAATTTTAAGCATTAGACATCAGAAAGATAAGGTTTCTTAGTTGGTTTATTTTGTTTTAAAATCAAAGAGCTCTGTCTGTCACTGAAATGATATATAAAGAAATTTAGTCATACATGTTTCAGCTATTTAAAAGGAACTGTACAGTTCATTTTTTGGTGGTTCAGGCTCTGGCACTTTGATTATACTCAATACTGGCTTACTTGGCCATCTCCTCAGTTTCTTAATGTCTGACACACATTTCTGATTTCTTGATGGATGCCTCTACCATAAGGATCCAGCACCTTCTGAATGGAAACACAGCTGAAACCATATCCAACTTTTTCTCCTACCAACCCACTGTCACTTTGGACTTGCCCATTTCCCAGTCTTTGCAGCTCAGTCACGACTGACCTTTTATCTCCATGCCCCACTGCATTAGTTGTGAATTTCAGTGATGTTCTACCTACACAATATGTCCAGAAACTTCCTTTGTTCTAATTTTACTTCCACGAATTTAGTCTATTATTTCACTACTTTTTTTTTTTTTTTAACAAAAATAGTATTTGCTCATTGTATTAGTTTGCTAGGTCTGCCATAACAAATAGCACAGACTCTGTGGCCTACACAACAGAAATTTATTTTCTTCCAGTTCTGGAGGCTAGAAGTCCAAGATCAAGGTGTGGACAGGATTGGTTTCTTCTAGAGGCCACTCTCCTTGTCTTGTAGATGGTCATCTCCCTTTAATCTTCACAAAGTCTCTGTGCCTGTGTTCTAATCTCTTCTTATAAGGACACCAGTTATATGGGTGTTATATGGGTTAGGTTATATGGCTTATATGGGTCCTTCTTATAAGGACACCAGTTACATGGGTTAGGGTCTACCCAGATGACCTCATTTTTTACCTTAATCATGTCTTTAAAGGCCCTATCTCCAAATATAATCACATTCTGAGGTACTGGAGTTAGGACCTCAACATGAATTTTGGGAGAACACAATTCAATCTGTAAAACTCATATGTTTCCTGTGGCACATGCCCTCATCCCAGAATGTTGTAGTTCTCCCTTATCCACGGGAGATACGTTTCAAGACTCCCAGTGGGTGTGTGAAACTGCAGAGAGTACTGAACCCTATATATCCTATTATTTTCTGTACATGCATACCCATGATAAAATTTAATTATTTATAAATTAGGCACAGTAAGAGATGAACAACAATAACTCATAATACAATAGAACAATTATAACAAGATAACCAAAATAAAAGTGATGTGAATGTGGTCTTTCTTTCCCTCTAAAACATCTTATCGTACTGTACTCCGTGGTCACATGAGATGGTAAAATGCCTATGTGAGGAGATGTCGTGAGGGGAATGATGTGGGTATTGTGACGTAGCGTTAGGCTGCTACTGACCTTCTGAAGATATGTCAGAAGGAGGATCATCTGCTTCTGGACTGTGGTTGGCTGTGGTAACGGCGACTGTGGGTTAGGGCGGATTACACTAATATTTTTTCCCAGGACCATTTTGATAGTCTTTAGAAAAACCATGTTCTGCAGCCATAGACACATCTTTTAAACAAAGCACCACTCAGGGCTCCCGGGTGGCTCAGTCGTTAAGCATCTGCCTTTGGCTCAGGTCATGATCCCAGGGTCCTGGGATCGAGCCCCGCATCGGGCTCCCTGCTCAGCGGGAAGCCTGTTTCTCCCTCTCCCACTCCCCCTGCTTGTGTTCCCTCTCTCACTGTCTCTCTCTCTCTCTCTGTCAAATAAATAAATAAATAAAACCTTAAAAAGATAAACCAAGTACTGCTCTTCAGAATGCCCCATGTTTATTTCCTCATTTCCTCATTTAAGGACTTCTACAATTCAAATTTCCACCTTCAAGTTTTCTTTCCTATGATTCCAGTAAAACGCAGTCACTCTGGATTACTCACACATAGACCTCTATATCCTATATCTGTTGCTTCCGCCCATTTTTCTACGAGTGGCATCATTCTGCAAGACTCTAATCGGATGCTAGTATACTTTAGCATAACCCTTCTCAAACTTATACACACCCTTCCAACAACAATTGTTCCCAGTTCCTTGAGCCACAGCCCATCTATTCGACCTTGTTTCATTGATCATTCTCTGCCAGTTTCCTCACTCCCCAAATCCTAAGTATTCCTTTAGCAGAAGACTTGTTGCATCATGGGTACTGAATAAACCATTGATTGAGTTGATTAAAGCCAGTTTATTCACCATCATTTGTTTCAGGGGATAATATGATTAAAATGTCCAAAACAATTATTATTCTTGTGTTCATCCTATAGACAGGGCATAAATCATGGTTGATGACTAAGAGACAGCAATGGTTATTTTGGTTGATTGTTTTTCTCCTGCAAATAACAAATTTTTCACCTTAAATAATTACAGGTTGTTAATTTTATATCTATCCATTTATTTTTATAAATTTATATACTTTACCAAAATTTTTTTGGTGTCATTTGTGAAAACTAGGAGAAATACTCTTATTTTCTACATTATGGGTTAGAGAACCTCAGGGTCCATTACTGACTGGTTTACCTAAAGTTTTGTAAGATCTGGTGTCAAGGCACTTTTTGATCATTTCTAGTTGATTTTCCTTTGTACTTCACTCTTTCCAAGGTTTACTTCGCATTTGGCACGAAGATTTTAGCTCTTCTCTATCATCTTGTCCTTGAGAAAGCTTAACAAATTAACTTAAGGCTTTGAAAACAATATATGAATATAGAGCAAATGTGTCCACCTCTGATAGTCTTGTTCATATAGCCTTTTCCATCTCCCAATCATCCTTGCTGCACTTATTATAGAGACTAGAGAGTAAATATTAACTTTCCAATTTCCTTCCCATTAGAGATGGCCATATGGTATGGTTCTGGCTAATGGGCTATAAGCTGAAATCTTTTAAGGGCTTTGAGGAAGGCTTTTGTGTTTCTGATAAATGGAATAGAAACAACTAGAGCTGCCTCTCCTCCCCAGTCCTTTTCCTTCTCCTCATCACCACATGTAACACCAACATGGTGTCTGTAGTCACACTAGCAACTTGCTGTCGTGAAGAAAAACCAAGAAAACTGCATAGACGCTGGCCTTCTGTACTTGGTGCTAACATCATAAACAGCTGAAATGCCTCCAGTGGTCACTTCATCAAAAGCAACGCCTTTCTGTTCAAGCCATTTTAGGTCCTGGTATCTCATTACTTACAGCCAAAAATATTTAAAACGAATACAACAAAGTTAGTAGTTCGAGTTTATCTTCTGTGGCCACAGAATGTGCTTCCTAATCAAAATCCAGTTACAAACCCGCAAATTCAGTTCCCTAGGTAAAAAGGAGGCAAAGGAAAGTGAGCTGGCTGTTTTCACATAAATCGCTCACCAGTAAGAGAATCTCTGTTAGCCTCTTCCTTTTCCCTCAGGGATTATTGCTATTTTTTCTACATATTGGAAGACAAGGAAAAAGCTAAATTAAAAATTAGATGGAGAGGAGGAACTTTGTGAGTTATCCATTGATAACCTTCATGTAAGGATTATTATCATCTGCTTCTCATTAGTGAAGGAGGCATAGAATGGTATAGAATTTTGTTGTCCCTCTGTTTCTGTTTTGTTTTTTACATTCCCCATACAGAATACCCCATATGGTATGTGGGGGTGCCTCGGTGGTTCAGTTAAGCATCTGACTCTTAATTTCAGCTCGGGTCTTGATCTCAGGGTCATGAGCTCAAGACCCATGTTGGGCTCCACTCTGGGCATGGTGCCTACTTAAAAAAAAAAAGAATACCTCATAACTGATCCATAGCTGACAAGAATATCATTCATTTCTATTTTTTTTAAGGTTTTATTTATTTGACAGAGAGAGACACAGCGAGAGAGGGAACACAAGCAGGGGGAGTGGGAGAGGGAGAAGCAGGCTTCCTGCCAAGCAGGGAGCCCAATGCGGGGCTCGGTCCCAGGACCCTGGGATCATGACCTGAGCCGAAGGCAGACGCTTAACGACTGAGCCACCCAGGCGCCCTGAATATCATTCATTTCTAAAAGAAATTCAGGAAGCTGAGTGTGCCTCTCTTGAGCGCACTATTAAAACAATTAAAATCAGCTGTTATAATGCTGTTTTAGGGTTCAGATTTTGTAATTTATGTGGCGTGAGGCATTGTTCATTTTTATGGAGAGATTTTGGTTCCAGTTCTGCTAAGTCCTAAAGAGTTCCAATTAAAGACTCCTTAGGGAGTTTTTCCTTCCTCTGCTGGATTCGAGATTTTTTACTAAATAACCTAAGATTATTTCTGGTGGGGATAATTTATCTTTAATTTTAATGCCTTAATTGTTTTTTACACACATCCTGAAACCCAGGACAGTAATCTCATTAAGAAATACAAAACTGTATTTATAATATATTAAAATGAAAACAATACATTGTTTAAGGATGTATGCAAATTGTTAAACCTGCAGGTCTTGTTTATGCTGAACCAAAGCTGAAAAGTAATATTGCTGCTTATCTGAATAATAGATACTCTCATATGTTTAATGCTACTTATAGTTTTCTTTCAGGGACAAAACTTAAACATAAAATGCACAGAATCATTATTATGTCTCTGAGCAGTTTCAAATTGAATTGTGTCCTTTCTCCATATGTCTGATAGCCTTGTAAGACTGGTAACTTGTCTGACAAAAGCAGCTTAATGTAAGGAATTAGAGGAAACAAGTGGGAGGAGCTGACCTGGAGGACTTTCCTTGAAGCTGTGTTTGCATAGTAAGCACATTGGTTGCAAGGTATTTACATTTTTATGTTAGTTGTCAGCACACTGGGAAAACCAGTGCCTTCCAGCAACTCCTTGATACCACTGTTTGACCGAGGTTAACAGGGAGGAGAGCAGAACTGTATCAACACAGGTGTATGACATTAATGAGGCTCTCTCCTCACCTCATTCCTTGAAACAAATCTCTTCTTATATTCTATTAATTACATTGTACATATATCATCTGTGGAAGAGATAAACCAGTGAATCCGTCACTCCTTAGTAAAAATAATGGAAATCACCTGGCTCTTCCCACCTCTTCCTGAAATGTTGCTGGTACGTGTTTTTTTCCCTTTTCTAAAACACTCTTCCTTCTGTTTTTCGCTGGGCTAGTTCCTATTCACCCTTCATTTCTCAGCTTTTATATTATTTTCTCCCATAAGCTTTGATTTTCCAACCCCATGTTAACTGGTTTTCCCCTTTATAATATCTTTTGGGCTTTTTACTTCTCCTTTGATGTGCTCTATCTGATTATGCATTTAATTTTGGTATGACAAGTTTAACGTTTGTCCTCCCTACTCATCTGTCAGGCTTGTGAGGGCAGAAACCATACCTGTTTTATTCACCGATGTTTTCTCAGAGCCCAGCCCCGGCCAGGATAATATAAGTGCTCTATACACTTATCAACAGTAAAGGGTTCCGGTTGCCTTCCTGGACTGAGAGCATGGGAACCAGCCCTAAATAACAGCAACAACAGGAGTCTTCAGACAGTAGAACAACCATTTTGCAGAGGAGAAACCTGAGAAGACTGGAAAGTGTCCAGACTCTGGAACTAAGGAGGAAGGGAAGGAAGAATTGCATTTTTTTCACAGTCTTGCTCAGGGTCATGGTGGTGGCTAATAATCTTTGTTACTCAAGAAACATATACTTTTTGCCTCCATAAGGAGGGGAGGGGGAGGTCAATGCTTAGTGATTGTAAATGGAGTTGAACCATACAACATGCATTCATCATTTTTACCCAAAGATCCACTTAAAATAAAGACACAAGTAGAATAATAATGAGAGCTTTTTTTGTTGTTTTATTTCTTTTTACAGATTCTGTGGTACCACTATAAGTGTCTCCCTCTCAGGGATGAAAGAAGAATTGCTTCTTTAACACCTACCTTTCTGTGTGATGGGGGACATGCCTGAAAGTGGAAATGGGAAAAACTAGATGGTAGCAGACTGCTTTGGTCTTATCATAAGCTTCCCATACCCTTATTAATGAACAGATAGAAGTAGGCTTACAGTCGATGCGGTATTCACATAAACATCAGAAACAGTTCAAAAGATTCCAAAAATAAATTCTGAAGCCACTCCCTGCCATTTGGAACAAGTATGGTTTGGAATGTTCCCCGTCTCTGTAATTCTGAGAAAAATGGTCTAAACTAGATGGTCTATGACTATATTCAGATGATCCCAATTCATAAAATGAGAACAGAAGAGAACCGGCCTCTGTAACAGTGACACCACAGGGAGAACAAATTGGCTCAAGAAGCAATAAAACAACCGGGAAGGCCCCTTAAGGTAATCAATTTTGTTGTATCGCTTTTTGCCATGACTCTGAAGAAAGCTAATTTAGTTTCTTTCTTTTTTTTTTTTTAAAGATTTTATTTATTTATTTGAGAGAGAATGAGATAGAGAGAGAGCATGAGAGGGGTGAGGGTCAGAGGGAGAAGCAGACTCCTTGCTGAGCAGGGAGCCCGATGCGGGACTCGATCCCGGGACTCCAGGATCACGACCTGAGCTGAAGGCAGTCGCTTAACCAACTGAGCCACCCAGGCGCCCCGCTAATTTAGTTTCTGAAAGTAGTATCTTGCTGCCTGGAATTGGTACCCACAAGCTTCAAATAAACTCTGCCATGAACTGTAAGCTGCCCTTGACAGAAAGAAGGGCACACTCAGCTGCCAGCCACCAGGGAAGGTGTAATTTCACAAAGCCAGACAGCCAGGGAAAGCGATCCTCAGAGGGAACCCTTGCAGGGAAAAAAAATCTTACCTTTCTTTTTGCCTCTCCATCAGTAACCTCAACAGAGCTATTTTTGGATTATTTCTCTTTATCCCTACTTATGGCTATTGTCGTATTTTCGGCAATGTATTTTTGGTGCTTGTTGTCAGAAGTAGGTATAGTCCATAAGAGTTTAACTGCAGAGCGAGGCATCCCAGGGTTCAAACCTCAGCTACCTAGCTCCTCATGAGCCAGCAGGCCCCTTACCCACATGACTTCCGTTTTCAGAGCCGTACGACAATAATGCCCACCTCTCAGAACGGTTGTGAGAATTAGTCACATTACCACTGAAAATGCCCAGCACAAGGCCAGGCGTATAGAATGGACTTAATACACCGAAATCTTGTTCCCTTTAATTTTTTTGGCCTTCTCTTCCCTTCCTGTATTTTTCCATCTTCAGCATATCAGCCTCACTAGTAGAGGATTATCCGGCACGCCCGCCAAGCCTGCTGCCCACAGAGAAGTCCTGTGTGCCTGACACAGGATGCAGCCCTATGAGGGATTTAGTCTGTTCACTCAGTGCTCAGTTCATGTCAACATGCAAATGCTCCTGAGAGAAGAAAAAAGCACTAATTCTTGTCTAATGATTTATTTACACTTTGAAGTCTTCTTCATTTGTTCACAATTTATGTCAGCAGATTCTGCTAAGGGATATATAGGAAGAAGAACAGCTTTGCGGACATGGGGGTGTGCAGGGGGCACAGAGAGGAAGAAGGGAGAAGGGGCTGTGAAAAGCAAGCTGCCGGCGTCAGTCACTCTGTTGAATCCACCCACGCCACCCCTGCCCAATTCCTGGGTGAATCAAACGGGCGTGCTTTTTAAACTGCCTACTGTTAGTTTTCATGTTTAATGGCCAAAATATTTAGGTGTAATATTTGTGAATGGCAGTGTTTCGTTTTCACAGGTGCTGTTTTACAGAGTCAACCAAAAACTAATCCTCAATCCTGCCTGTTCCAGTAATCTGATCCATTCCTGAAAGCTCTTCTAGGTTAGGATTCCTTGAAACTATTTCAGAGATTGGTACATTAACATTGTATTAGTTCTGGGACGCCAGGGTGGCTCAGTCGGTTCAGTGTCTGCCTTCGACTCAGGTCGTGATCCCAGGGTCCTGGGATCGAGCCCCGCATCGGGCTCTCTGCTTGGCGGGGAGCCTGCTTCTCTCCCTCTGCCTGCCGCTCCCCCTGCTTGTGCTCTCTCTCTGACAAATAAATAAAATCTTAAGAAAAAACACTGTATTAGTTCTAGGGGTAGTTATATTAAAAATTAAAAACAAAGTGGGGACAATAAATTGTATGTATTTTAAATCTATGGATCTAAAAAATAGGAATCTTATCTTTAAAAATCTAGCAGCCTATCTAAAGTTGGAGTGGGAATCTAGAATGTCCTACATTGAGATAGCACCCAGAAAGATGCTATTAAAGTGAAATGTCTTCCCTTTTGTTAAAAGAGTACTAGTTGACACTTATCTCCCAATTATTTTTAGAATAAGTTGCACCTATATGAGGCGAGCACATCAATGACTGGATTCGTTAAGGGTTTACAGGTTTTAAGAGCCTCATTTTCTCCATCCTTAAGATGTAGCTCATCTTTATTATATATTTGAAGCGGGCATAAAATCTATGTTAAGTTTTGCATTATTTATGCTATTTTCCTGACACTTGCAGACTGTATTTAATGCATTCGATAGGAATTTTAAGATTACATATTCAAGCAATACTGTTACTAAAGAAAATTTTTTAAAATTCTAAAATGCTGTTAAAAGGGCACTTCTAATCATCAAGAAAATTAATTTTAATATTCTGAGAAGTAAACAGAAAAGTATGAATTTCATTTGTTCATAGGTGTGTATTGAGAATGACTTCAGCAGTTATGGTAGACTACTATTCTTTGAATAAAAAGAAAATATAAGAGGTGTAGGACCCTTAGAATCCAAGTTACTCTCTTCAAGTATAATCACAGACTTGGTGAATAGTATCTTGAGTTTAGCCAAAGTTAATTATTTTGTTTCCTAAACAGTATCTTGAAAAAAATATCACCTATATAAACTTCTCTTAACCCTGAATACAGAAGTGTTGACTTGCCAAAAAAAGAGGTAACAGCCATTATTCATTCTCTATTCATTTTTATAATACAGGGAACATTTCAAACAAGTTGCAGTTTTGCCAGAACAGAATTTAGTATCCAAGAGCCTACTGTCATTTGCAATTATTATTAGCCCTTTTATAGTCTCTTAATGGAGCTACTGGTATTTTTTAAAGGAATTAGTACAAGTCAAGGGCATTCATAAAGCCCTGTCTTTAATGATGATGGTTGCAAACAGCAGCAGCAGACGTAGTAACAGCTAATGTTTCTGGGGTACTTGCCATATGCCAGGCACTGTATTGAGCATTTTACAGTACTATCTCACTAATTTCCACAGAAACCTTATGAGGTGGGTACTACTGTTATTTCCACTTACAGATGGGGACACTGAAGCCGAGAGAGGGTTCACAGCTAGTAAGTGAAGGAATCAGCTAGTAGGCAACAGACCAAACCCAGTCTGACTCCAGAGACCAGAACTATGCCTCTCTTAGATGAACTCAATAGGACCTGCACATGATTCTACCAGAACATTCAAAATGATTTCATAAGGTCATTTTTTTTCTGCCTCTAAAGTGATTCTTAGGCAATTCTGAGAGGGCATGGAGAAATTTTAAGAGGTCATAGGATGATGAGCTTAAATCTAGGAATGGCATGAGAATCCTCCATCTTCTGGACTCTCTTACCTCTTACCTCCATTCCCATCTTCATTCATGTTACACAACACATTACTGTAAACTACTTTTTTTTGGTAGTGGGGAGGGATGTTGTGAGGAAGAGTCATGGGAGATTTTATAGGTTAAAAATCAGGAGAACCACTGGTTTTATATATAATTTCACATGAATGTTTAAGACAATCTCTCAAGGATTCTTTAAGGTTCCATAATCTATGATGCCCACCAGCAAATGTTGTTTTTTTGTTTTGTTTTTGTTTTTGTTTTTTAAAGATTTTATATATTTATTTGAAAGAGAGAATGAGCCAGAGAGAGAGCATGAGAGGGGGGAGGGTCAGAGGGAGAAGCAGGCTCCCTGCCGAGCAGGCAGCCCGATGCGGGACTCGATCCCGGGCCTCCAGGATCATGACCTGAGCCGAAGGCAGTCGCCCAACCAACTGAGCCACCCAGGCGCCCTCCACCAGCAAATGTTGTATCACATGATAAAACTTTATATTCCTATGTTATTTCACAAACAAACCTCATTTGAGTACCTCTCACAGAAAACCTCTGAGCTGATGAGGAAAGAGAAATATAGCCCTACTTCACAGAGACAAAGATAAGGATCAAGGCTACATGGTGCGGTACAAACAGGATCCAAAGCTAGCATCTAGGTTCTTAATCCCAATCAGTCTTTCATGAGTGCAAAGGTGTTCTGCTGTATAATAGCCTATGGCTTGGTGAAAACAGTCTTCTCAGTGAACTGCACTTTGCACAAGGAAACCAAGGGCTCAGTAATCTCATATCCTTGTTTAGTGTATCTCAGGATTCACTGAAGTGTCAAATCTAAAGAAGCTGGCTATCTCAAAAGAATGTCTGATGAAGCAGGGCTGGAAGAATGCATGTCATTAACTCTTGAAACTTGTTACCACTGAGTTTGTGTTCCTAAATGGTTTCTTTCTGGGAGGAAGCTGGAGGATCATGTTCTGAACCCAAGATAATCAAAGTCAGGTAGACAGGACAGGAATGTGACCAGGATACTAATCAGGAACTCCACGGTAAGTATGCAGCTCCCGAGGTCCCAGAGACAGAAGTGCCTCTGAGAAATGCTCAATTTCCAAATATAGAATAGCTAAGTAACAAGATTTTGCTTTTTGTTTGAACCCTTTCAAATTTCTCACTGCGGTAGGAACTCTTGACAACAGTCTGTTTTCATGATCCTTGATGGCATTTTTTGCACAATTTATAGAAGAAAAGTCATAAAATAAAAAATAATGTAAACCAGGAAATACATTATGAAACTTTTGGCATTAGGTAATCAATACCAATTGTGGGACCATTACACTTCTGATGGCAATGATGTATTTGTTATGTTGCCAATGCTTCTTCAAGTCCCAAGTTCTTACTTAGAAGTGTAATCTTATTAGAAGCAAACCCTACCTATGTCCCCTGAAAACAGACTCCTAGACAGCGATGAGTCTAAATACAGCTTTCTTTGAATGTCTCTGGATCACATGCTATGGATATAACTAAGAAATGCATCTAAGTGTATTTTTAAATCCCAGGTTTGATTTTCTGATCAAGCTAGAAGGGAGCCATCTGAACATGACATGATACATCGTCCTGAACATTTTATATTTTCTCAAAGTCACCTTCACTTGTAATTCATAATAAAAATCAACAATGACAGATAATAGGAAACAGCTGAATATATTTCAGCATTTCCAAGTCTTGTTCTCGAGATGAGTTCCGGCATATACAGCTGATATGTGATATATAAATGCACATGAAGGGGAAGAGGTGCTCTGTGGTAAAGTAAGTTTGAGAAAAAAATGTAACAAAGTTCAATAGATTTTCAGTACTTCCCAGTGCCTTTAATATGCTAACGAATGGATAATGTTCCACAGGGAAACAGAATATGCAGCTTTTCTGAAAACTACTTGAGCATAAAAGCATTATTTTGCAGAGTAGTTCCAGGGACCAAGGTCTCAAGGATATATTTTGTCACAGGAGCCTGGAAATCACACAGGGGTGGATTCCTAGTATAGCTCAACACTGCTGTGCAACCTTGAAAGAGTTAATGAGATACAGTAGCCTCTCCCTTTATTCGAAGTTTCTCCTTCTGCAGTTTCGGTTAGCTGTGGCCAACCACAGTCTGGAAGCAGATGATCCTCCTTCTGACATATATTCAGAAGGTCAGTAGTAACCTAACGCTACATCAAAATGCCTATGTCATTCATCATTCACCTCACCTCATCCTGTCACATGGGCACTTTATCATCTCACACCATCACAAGAAGAAGGGTGAGTACAGTACAATAATACACTTTGAGAGAGAGAGACCACATTCACATTACTTTTATTACGGTATATTGTCATAATTTCTCTATTTTATTGTTCTTGTTGTTCATCTCTTACTGTGTCTAATTTACAAACTAAACTTCATCATAGGTATGTATTTATAGGGAAAAAAAAGCAGTATATACAGGGTATTGTACTATCTGTGGGTTCAGGCATCCACTGGGAGTCTAGGAACATATCCCCCATAGGTAAGAGGGGACTACTGTATTCTAAGCTTTGATGTCTTGAGGTTAAAAAAAGGTTATAAAATTAAAAGATACTAGGGAAAACCACATTATATTCTTGACATTCAAATGCATCTAGGATCGTCACAAATCCCCAAATTTATTAATATCACCATAAGATATACTTTTCCCTTAGAAAATTGACTAAAATAAATACTCTCATTGCTGCTTTCACCCCATCACTTTATAGAAATGTTTTCAGTTTTCTTGCCTCTCCTAGAATCTGACTTCCATTAACAGCTCTAGTTTGCTAAAGTTTTAATTCTCATTTGGTAAACAATTTTGCACTGACTGGAATACTATATGAAATATTCAAAATCTTTTTTGGGGGGAACACAAGGATATTGCTGACTATGGTGGACTTATTCATAGAAGTTATTATTTATCACTTTAAATTTCATACTTTTTATCATTTTTCTAAGAATTATTTTCTTAGCTGTTTTCTTTCTTGTCACTTCTGTCGAGATCGGTGCTATTCAATAGAAATATAATGTGAACCATGAATGGGGACCGTATCTGTAATTTTAAATTTTCTAAAAGCCACATTACAGAAAGTTTTTTAGAGACCAGGTGAAATTAGTTTTTTTAAAGATTTTATTTTTAAGTAATCTCTATACTCAACGGGGTGTTGGAACCCACAACCCCTAGATCAAGTCACACATTCTACTGACTGAGCCAGCCAGGTGCCTCCCATGAAATTAATTTTAATAATATATTTTATTTAACCCAATATATGCAAAATATTATCACATACATGTAATCTTAATAAAAATTATTAATGAGATTTTTTTCACTTTTGTTCATACCAAGTATTTGAAATCTCTGCATTTTACACCTACAGCACATCTCAAATGGACTAGCCACAGTTCAAGTGCTCTGGGGTTAGCAGCTACCTTGTTGGACAGCCCAGGTCTAGATTAGCAATCAGCTTTCTTTGGGGGCCGTTTTTCTACACAGATACAAGATACACTAATAACACAGAGCTACTGCATTTGCGAGGAAGGATAGAGAAAGAGACTACCATACTGTGATGTGGATACTGGGTGATCTATAGGCTCATTCAATAATAGTTAAGTACCTTACATCCACTGAAGAGCTGAGCTGTACATGGGCTCCTATTACTACTTGACACGAAGCCCCAGAGTCCTTTATAATAACTCAGTTTGCTAAAGCCAAGGGGTTATTGTAATTGATTTGCAAGTAGAAAAAGCAGTAACAGTAATTTGAAATGTAAAAAAAAATTAAATTCTGTAAATAAACACCATTTGCATACATAACACCTGACTAGGTCCTGACATTTTGGAATAGTTATTAGATATAAGAAGTTCAATCTCCCAGGCTGTGGTATGTATGTATGTATGTACACAAGCACACACACATACCCAAACATACACATAAATGCACATAGGCACATATGTATGTTTGGTATAAATCCCACATTTTTATAAAGAAGAGTATTTATTTATTTGACAGAGAGAGAGCGCGCGAGCGAGCGCAAGGGAGCACAAGCAGGGAGAAGCAGAGGAAGAGGCAGAAGCAGACTCCCTGCTGAGCAGGGGCTCAATCCCAGGACCCTGGGATCATGACTTGAGCCAAAGGCAGCCGCTTAACTGACTAAGCCACACAGGCACCCCTAAATCTCACTTTTTAAGGGGTCGGTGGTTGGTGATTGTTATTTCTCTTTTTTTAAATAACGGGCACTACAGAACAGAAGGCAGAGAATCATTCTTGTTCCCTAGACAAGCTTGCTATTCACACTTAAGCTTGCCTTCAATGGAAAGAAATACGCAGCTTATTCTTGCAAGTAATGATAATTACCGTAAACGGACGGCTTCTATATGTCACAGTGGTCTAAGGGTTATGCGAGCATTCTCTCAATACAGCAGTTAATGATGTATGTGCAGAGGCAACTGAACAGAGTCCCTTTAAGAAGCTTAATAAATGCCAAACAACCCATAAACGGAACAGCCACGATTTGAACTTAGGAATCTCTGCTCAGCCATGAAGCTAAACTATTCACCTTAAATGCATAATGTTCTAAACACTCTCTTTCTAGATACCATTTTTTATCTAACCTGAATTAGGTACTTATAAGCAATACCAATATTTCTTAGGACTTAAATATCTCTGAAGATCTTAATGGGAAAAAACTTTGTAAATACCTAGTTTTATACTGAGCATAACCTCTCATTTTATTCTATTAGAAGACCCATCCAGGAATAGGCTCAGTTCTTTCCTTATCTCTGACAAATACCAGAATCTATAACATATGGTGCCTTTTCCTGGCATCATTTCTTCCAGTGCTTGCATTCATCTTTAATGTGATTATTTTGTGGTCTGCTGGCTCTTGAGATGATATACCACCTTCTCCTTTGAACTGTGAATTACCATATTTGGACTTGCTTCTTCATATGCTTTTTACTAGTCCTTTTTGTTTCTCTCATTTGTTAAATTGAAACATTAAAATGATCAAATTTATCCTAATAGTATCTCAATTTTTGTTTTGGTAATGCGACAGAGTTTAACTTACTAGTAGTTGCACATAAACTGGCTCAATCAACTAGACAAGTAAAGAGCCCACTGATTTCACAGGAATCCAGCATTAGGGAGGTTTCTTTCTTGGAACACCAGAATATACAATATAAGGTAAAAAACTAGTCTTCATTTTCACAACTATCCTCTTGCTTGCACTTACCAGCATTCAAAAGAATAATTACTACTGTTCAGAAGAACGATGTTACCAATAGAGTCACTTTTGAAAGTCTGCCAACCCCTGATTTAAGCAACATATATCAGAATTGAACATATAAAACTTGGGGCTTCATATGTCTAGCAGATTATACATCCCCATACATTGGCTGAATGAACGCTTGAATTGCACATAAGCTTATAGGGACATTGAACTCTTCATTGATCATTCTTTGATCTTTCCTGAGCTTGGTGTTAGTATCAGGAATACCTGCTTGGTTATGAAGAAATATTTAGGCAAATACCCTGGGTCATTTACAGTTTTTTATACTTCTGTAATGCTATTTCTATAAACTTAAAGAGATACAGTAATTGTATAGTTTATACATTCAATCTCACACGAGGAGGCTGAGGTCTATGGAAGTTAAGTAACTTGCCTGATATTGTATAATGAGCCAAGATAAGAGTGGAAATCTAGTAGTGCTGACCGCTGCTATTCCAAGCAGAAATGGTATAGTTCATATTATGATTGCCATAAAAAATAACCTCAGTAAATACTGCATGCTGGGACTTTACCACTATGATAATAAAGAACATTTATATCAAAAATAAGAAATTATATTTTGTGTGGTGTTACACAATAAATAGTAAATAGATGAAGTCTGATATTGGATTTGAATATGAAAACTTACATTAGGTCTTCATACGGTATACAAAATAATTTATGGAAAGGATTTTTTCCACAGGTGTTATAATAAAAATCCCTTCTATCCATTTACTCATCCCTTAGTTGTCATTTTAAACCAAGGGAAATTAAAAAAGGTCCTGGCTCATGCCTTCTCCTCTCCCCATAATTCACTGTCACTGATATTAAAAGATGTGTAAAAACGCTTGAAAAGTGATCACTAAGTTTTTAACACAAACTTCCCGATATTTCCGGTGGTACAGGATACTCGTCAGCTTCCTCAGAAGCATTACAAATTCGTCACTGAGGATGGAGACAATATTGGTGGATGGGGATGGCTTCCAGACTTGGCCTCTTAAATTCTTACTTTAGCTATGTCTCAATGCTCTGTTTTAGTGGTTTAAATCATTCACGGAAAAGCAAGTGTTCTGGCAATCTCATTCTGCACATCTCAAGAAACAAAACAGCTTAAATTCTCTATCTTTCCTTCTCATCTTCCCTGTCAGTGGTGTCATCTTAAAACTATTTCTATCAATTGAACCTGGAGTACACCATTGAAAGCTGTGGATATGTATTTATTTTAAGCATTTACAAAAGTTCCCATGATTCATTTTCAGTGTCTACATATTTTGTTAGTGTATCACTGCATTATGTCAGGAAGTCTCTCTATACTAACAAGAATGAGGATTACATCTGGATTCTACTAGGGGACCACAATTAAATTTTGACTGATTACACACGGAAGCAGACAGGTGTATTTTACCTGCAAGATTAACTCTATCTTAAAAATGTACTTTTTTTTTTTTTGTAGGAGAATCTTTATTACTTCTATTACAGAAAACTGAACAGCATACACTCTGCCTAGTTTTTCGGCTACTTCTTCAGCCTTTGCCTTTTCCAGCTTGGCACTGTGAGCCACTGATTTTGGACCCAGGACACTGTCTTCCCAGTGATGGCAGATCTCATCATATCTGTCATTATAATTGGTCCTGATGGCTTCTACCAGCTTAGCCAGAGCTCCTTTGTCTCCCGAGTTAACCTTTGTGAAGGCAATGGTGGTGCAGATCTTCCTGTGGACCAGATGCCCCAGCTTGGCCTTTCTCTTGATAATGCAGAGGGAACCCTCATCTGATGACACAGGCCAGGTGGGAAGACTGTCGGCTTGATGGGATCCACATCATGTGCAATCACTACCAGCTGAGTCTTCTTGTTTTCCACCAAGATGGGACAGTATTAATCCCTGCTGGAAGGACTCTCAGTGGGGATGTGTTCTTTGCACTTCGTATCTCTTAAACCCTTTCTACTCATACTGGGATCCGAGGAATAGTAGCAGTAGCACCATCCTGGAGCTTGGTGGAGATGCAGAATCTCAGGCCTTACTCTTGACCTACTCAGTCAGAAGCTTCATTTTAACAAGATCGCCAGGAGATGTGTGTGCATCCCATTTTTAGAGGCACTGGCCTAAGGCATGGTATTCAGTAATTACAAACTGTCTTATTCTTTGCAGCAAAAGTGTCAGTTCTTCAGTTTCTGATACTGAGCCTAACTAGATATTCATTCAAATATAGTTAAATGAGGGGCGCCCGGATGGCTCAGTTTGTTAAGTGTCTGCCTTGGGCTCAGGTCATGATTCTAAGGTCCTGGGATCGAGTCTTACATCGGGGTCCTTGCTCAGTGGGGAGCCCTGTTTTTCCGTCTGCCTGCCGCTCCCCCTGCTTGTGCTCTCTCTCTCTGACAAATAAATAAATAAATAAAATCTTTAAAAAAAAGAAATATAGTAAAATGATTGAAAACAAAGAAGAAAAGAAAAATCTAAGATAAAAATAAAGCCTGAATAATATCATGTCCTTTGTTTATTTTACTTTCCGAAGTTGTGGTTTGGTTTTTTGTTTGTTTGTTTGTTTGTTTGTTTGCTGTCAGATTCTTCTATAAAGCACTGTCTCAGAATAAGTTCCCCAATAGAGGTTGAATGCTATCATGCCTGGTGGACCCGTCTGCATTCGATGACCATTAGGCTGATCATCTACTTAAAGGATGATCCTTATTCCTAGAACTCCCCTTTCTGTTTGAATTTGGATATTTCATATCTTGTGGTCACCCCTGGCAGCAGGTAGGACAACAGGGAATTGAAAACAAAGATAAGCCATTCTGCTTTTCTTCAGCAGTTTTGCTAAAAGATTCGATAGTTTGAAATATTTGATAGGTTAAAATGAATTCTGTGGACTCTTATTTACCAAGGCTCAATGATATATTTTTATTTATCATTGACAAAATGATTAGCGATGGTATATCCTGGAAACAACATTTCAGTGACCTGGAAGAATTCATATGTGTTCCAGTGGGACCCAGGGAGTTTTAGGCACTGGGAAAGTTTGATTCCGAGGATTATATTTTTAGTAAAACCTCATTTCTAAGGAATCTAAAAGTGAAGCTCAAATATAACAACTTCAGGAGCCCACAAAGGTAGAGATTAAAATTTAAAAGAGAACATTATAAATCCTTAATGCCTTTCCCAATTTTCAAGTCAGGTGACCTTATGTAGAAACTCTTATTTTCAAAGTTCATGATTTGAAGTATCTGTATGGTAATAAAGTATACATTGTTTCGTATCATGAAACCCGCAAGATATATTTATACTGCCTTAACTTTCCTTTTTGTTCTATGGAATATGCCACCAATTAGAGAGACTTAGGATTGGATTTTGAAAACTTCAAGAAATAGGACCCACAGTTATTGCACACGCTAAATTTCTCCAGTCATCATCTAAAATTAATGATCACATTTTGACATGGTACAAATTGAACCTGGGTCAGCTTACTTACTTGATGTACCAATAGTCAGACTGGTATCATAAATCAGTTTATGACCAGCTTTAGAGGGGATGACATACAAAAGAGGATTATATGTCACTAGGATCTTGACATTAAAAAAAATAAATCTTGGGCACCTGGGTGGCTCAGTTGGTTAAGTGACTGCCTTCGGCTCAGGTCATGATCCTGGAGTCTCAGGATCGAGTCCCGCATCGGGTTCCCTGCTCAGCGGGGAGTCTGCTTCTCCCTCTGACCCTCCCCCCTTTCATGTGCTCTCTCTCTCTCATTCTCTCTCTCAAATAAATAAAATCTTAAAAAAAAAAATCTTGACATTAAAAATAAATAAAGACAAAGAAAGAAGAAAAAGAATAAAGGGAATGTACTGTATCATGACTTACATTGTCTATGTATTCAATAGTGTGTTTACACAAGTTAAGTTGGCTCGGGAAAAGCCCTAAACAACTTTTCCAAGAAATAATTTATGGGACGGAAAAACCTCATTTAAAGTGAGCTATATATAGGATAAAGTGAGGATATATAGCTAGAACTGAAAGTAGGAGATGGTCATTTTAAAATAGAATAAAAAGATTATTAATTGGTTTTGCTCACAGTGGTTATTGTTGGGTTGACAAATGAATCTGAATAAAATGTAAGAATAAGATTACAGACTTACACTGAATATGGGTCAAAGACAGGGTCAAATCTCTTTCTACACAGCGAGTCAAGTTTTCCACTAGGGGCACTCATTTCATACGTGTGGACTATTTACCATGAGGAGAAGTAGAATTTGCTTCACTATTCCTGGAAAAAGAGATCCCGTAAATCAGAATATCCATCTCCTAGGTAATCATTTATTAAGATGCTGTCATTGCAAATGGAATACCTAGATGGCCTGCCCTTTGGCAAGGAGGTGGAAAACTGGAACACAGCTTTGGGAATTATATAAATGGTACAGTCACTTTAGGAACCTATTTGGTGGTATCTAAAAACATGTATAAACGGCAACCCAGAAATTCTACTCTTCAGGATACACCCAACATATGTGTATGTATACAAACTTACACATACTCCACGCACACTTGTTTATCAAGTGACATATCCTAGAATGTTCACAGCATCTCTATTCATAATAGCCTCAAACTAAAATACCCAACTATCCATCAACAAATTAATGACTAATTTGCAGTATATTCACTTGATGAAATATAATCATGAGAATGAACAATTTACAACCACACAAAACAATATAATGAATATTACTATCACAATGTTGATGGGAAGAAGCCAAAACAGAAGAGTTTATATTGTATAATTTCATTCATTAAAAAAGTTGAGAAACAGGCAAAACAAATCTATGCTCGTGGAAGTCAGGATGGTGGTTATCTTTGGAAGCATAGTGACTGAAGGGAGGATGAAAGGGTATCCTTGGTCATGTTTTATTTCTGGATCTGACTGCTGGTTATATGAATATGGCTAAGCATTTTTTTCTCTCACCCAGTTGCATATTCGAACCTATCATCTACCCATCAGATTCTCTTAGAGGGCTAAGGGCTCCATATAAATAATTTAACAAGGAAGGAGAGTCCCTTCCCTTTTTTACCAATACCGGCTAGGCAAGACACTTATTTTTTAAGTTCTATAGGGCTGACACAAACATTAAGCCTTTCAAATTCATTTCAAAACACAAGATAATTGTTTACCTCGCCAGAAATGTCTTCTTTCCCTTTCTTGTCATTTCTGCGAGATCTCTCCGATGATTCTGTTGCCTCAGTCCAAATGGATTTTCTTTAGGAAGAGACATCTGAGGTTTTTTTGTCCCTGAGTATCACAGCCAAGGGTCAGGGGAGCAGCATACACAACAGAAGTTGTAGTAATCCTCCTCCTCCACCAGGGGAGACAGAACGAAAACGTATCCACCAGCAGCACCAGCACTACTCGCAACAGGCAACTGCCTTTGCTCAAGACATTATGAACTTTATAGCAAATGGCTAGAGAAGGTTATGGTAGGAAAATATCTAGTCATTTTATAGGCAATGGTAAGATACAGAAATAAAACAATTATATGAGTATATGAGCATATGAGATATATGTTTTTTAGTTCATCTGAGATTGGGGCAGTGATACTTTGTGGAACCCACAGATGGGAACTTTTTATCAAGTACGACCCAAAAATGGCAAAAGGATTTTTTGGTCATATTTTTCTCTCCCCTACGGTGACCCCTCTTTCACTAGGGAATGTACTTACATCATCAAACTAATGTGATTCTTAAACAGGACATAAACCTTCCCTTTAGATGAGAACACTAATCAGATTCAGCTAGTTTTTCATTTTCCATCTACCTAAACACTGCCATTACATGGAAAGAAAAATCCCTGAAAAACCAAGGCTACTTTACGGAGTTAGACCTCTCTTCCCAGACAATCCATTTTATTATTCTATATAAACAAATTCTGCCATTGCATTCCTTTATCCATAGCAACTTCAAGTGGATAATCTACAAATCAATTAAAGAAAAGTTAATTGCCAAAAAGGATCAAGGAACAAGCATTAGAAACATAATATTTACAGGCACCATCCTAAAAATTTATGTGTTAGAGAAAAGTTGGTCTGACTAGCTTTCCTTCTAATCCAACATTTTAATTTGTATGATTGCTTTTAAAAATAAAAAAGTCATCACACCATTACTCTTACCTTATGACATCTATGTTTGGGGGCTGATGTGGACAGATAAGCCAAGCCAAAAAAAAAAAAAAAAAAAGGTACTACTATATGATATGCTACTGCTATTGATTTTTAACTTTAATTTTTTTATCTTTAACATTTTCTATGTTTGGAACTTTTTGAGGATTACATGAAATAATGCAACAGAAAGTACGATATCCACCCCCCTTTCCTTCTCCTCCTTACATGTCTACAATAAAGGAGAAAGAGAGGCAAATTCAGTGAGGAGAATGGACTCTGATCTGCCCAAGAACACAGTCAGTGATGAGGTCAATATTCATATGT